TTTTTTTTTTTAAAGTCAGGGTCTCATTCTGTTGCCCAGGCTGGAGTGCAGTGGCGTGATCTCAGCTCACGGCAGCCTGGACCTCCTGGGCTCAGCAGTCCTCCTCCCTCAGCCTCCCGTGGAGCTAGGACAACCAGCACGTGCCACTACACCTGACTAATTGGCATAGGCAAGTATTAGACACTGTGGCTTCTGGGTAAGGCACAGACTGGAACAGAAGTGCCCGTGGCACCCAGAAGAGACGGTGAGAAGGGGCATCCTCTCTTGCACAGAGGCCAGCGGGGAGGCTAGGAGCTGCTCTGGTCACCAGTGGGGGCGGGCTGGGCCCTGAAGTCCACTCCTCCACCTTCTGCTTGTGGGTGGGCAAGCCAGTCAAGCCGCCCTGGCCAGGTTATGAGGGAGTGATGGCGACGGGGCCCCATGGGGGCCAGCACCTACCAGGCTCCAGGCCCAGCTCCAGGGTCTCCTCCGGGATCACCTGCACCAGCATGGACAGCAGCAGGAAGAGGAAGGCAGAGGTGAGGCAAACGGAGCGCTCGCCCCCCTCCTCAGCACTGAAGTACAGCCGGGTCACTGTCAGGAACACCTTGCTGGGGTGTGGAGCTAAGGTGGCCACGAGTGCCAGTGCCCCGACCCAGGACCCCAACCCCAGGATGTGAACTGGGCTTGGGAATGGCCTGGAGGAGTGCGGGTTGGGGTCCCGGAGCCCCGATCAGGTGTGAGCTGGGGGTGCTGGTTCAGGGGGGCTGGCCTCATCAGAGCACTTGTGGCCAATTGGAAAGGGCCACCTTTCTCCTGCCTCAGCTGCCGGAAGTGCTGGGATGACAGGCAGGAGCCACTGCATGCTGCTCCCTATGCCTCTTAGCAGGACATCTGAAAAAGGGGCCATCCGTTTCACATCCCGGATTCTTGGCTGGCCTGGTGATTTGCTTTGACACAGAGAATGTCATGGAAGGGACAGGGACGGGGGTGAGCTGACTTCCAGCAAGCCATTCCCTCTTGCTTCCGGCATTTCTGCTGCCATGCAGGAGCAAGACCACGTGGAGTCGAGAGGAACTGATCAACTGAGCCAGCCCGGACTGCCCATTTGCAGCACTAGGGCATACAAAATGGCTGCGTCATGCCACTGAGCATGGGGGTTGGGTGTGGCCTCGCAGGCAAGACTGTCACACCAAGGTTGGGGGCCCGAGAGGGAAGGATACACGGAGAAGGCCACGGTGAGCAGGCACCAGAACACAGCAATGTTGGTCTCCCGGGCTGGGCCCAGCACGTAGTAGTAGGCCTCGGTGAAGAGGTACACGCCACCCGTGTACACGGCAAAGTCCACGAACCACTGGTACTCCAGGAAGAAGCGCAGGACTGTGGGGGCCCTCTGCTCAGCCCCACGCCCAGCCTGCCCAGGCCACCCCCCCTCCATGGGCCTGTGGTGACCTCTGGGACCCGGGGGAGACTCTGGGGAGCAGGGCTGGGCTGTTACCAAGGGCGTCCACAGCCGTGAGGGGGCAGGTCTCCAGCTGGAGCGGGGCGTCTCGGGGCACAGACAAGGGCTTCTCATCACTAAGGCCATTGGCCCACCTGAGGGGGACAGGGACATGGAAGGGGGTGGGTGAGAATGAATCCCACGGGGCTAGGAGGCTCTGCGGTACCATCCTTAGAGGCTTGGGAGCTGGGAACACGGGCGCCTCTCACCACTCACAGCGGCGGCCCCGTGCACACCACCAGGAAACATGAGATGCTAACTAGATGGGGACCATCTCCCGGCGCTAGAGTCTCCCCGATTCACCTGTGCCTAGAGGAGCACATGGACGTGTGGGAGAACCAATCCTGTGTCCCTGCAGCCTGGAGCCCCTGGGGAGAAGCCACCCACCCAGGGCTGGGGCTGTGTCGGGCCCACTCACCGCTCCTTCCGGCCTCTGGGCCTCTGCTTCCCTGCCAGAGCCCGGAGCTCCTCCTCGGAGGGGTGCTTGTACCGGAACAGGCTGATGGCAAGGATGGCTGTCAGAAAGCTCGGGCACGGGGGCCCTGAGGTAGTGAGCCCCAAGCCCAAACTCAAGGGGGCTCGGGTTAGAGGGAGGGTGGGGCCAGGGGAACACAGTGGGGGAAATCTGGGCAAACGGTGGGACCAGCAGATCAGAGTTGAGTGGGCTCGGGGCTTGAGACCTTGGCTCTGCCGGCCACCTATCCTGGGGAAACAGGGGCAGAATTAGGTTTCCATGAGCTTCTCAGGAAGGGCCACAGACCCACAGTGACAAGCGAGACGAGAGCAGGGACCAAGCCAGGCTGAATGACAGGAAGGCAGGAGGACTGGGGACCTGGGGACCTGGGGGTGCGGCTGCGGTTCCACAGGGGTCAAAAAGAATCTGGCCGGGCACAGTGGCTCATGCCTGTAACCCCAGCACTTTGGGAGCCCGAGGTGAGAGGACTGGCTGAGCCCAGGCGTTCAAGCCCAACCTGGGCCACTCGTCAAGACCTCATCTCTACCATAAATAAAAAAATTAGCCAGGTGTGGTGGCGCATGCCTGTGGTTCCAGCTACTCAGAAGATTGAGGCTGATCACCTGAGCCCAGCAGGTCAAGGCTGAAATGGCCGTGAGAGCGCCGCTGTACTCCAGCCTGGGCGACAGAGACTCTGGCTCAAATAAATAAATAAATAAATAAAGCCAGGCACCTTGGGAGGCCAAGGCGAGTGGACTGCCTGAGCCCGCGGGTTCGAGACCAGCCCAGGCACCTTGGCAAGACTTCGTCTCTACGATAAAATTAAAAATAGCCGGGCGTGGTAGCACGCGCCTGTAGTTCCAGCTAC